ACTAATTGTTTTTATAGGTGATAGGTAAATTTTAGCAAAGAAATAAGGTAAATTACTTTGCGGCTTTTCTACTATAAACACATGAAACATATGAAAGAAAAAGCTGAAGGTCATTTTTCTCATCTACTGTTCATTAATATTATTTCAATGGAGATAGCTGTCCACAGGGCTGTAGATACACTTTCTACATAGATAATGATTACTTCCCCTGACAGTGGATCCCCAAACCCCTTGTCACCCCCTCACCGAAAAAATAAACTCCTACCTACCCCCCCTCACCCTAACAATAGTCTCTACATTTACCTGTCACAGCACTCTGGTTGGTTTGAAATCCACCAATCAGAGTGCTCTGTGTCATTTTACACAGCGTGGGAAAGTTCTTTGGACAGTTCTTACCTGTCAGTCTCTTCATTTACCAGTCAGAGCACTCTGATTGGATGGCTTAAACCCACCAATCAGAGTGCTCTGAGCCTAATTGCAGGGCGGGGCAAGGCTTTATAAGCCTTCCCCTGCCCTGTAGAGCTCAGTCTGCGCGGAGCCCTCCATGGGTGAAGATGGATTATTACTTTTTGCACTCTGTTTTTTTTTTAATTGCGTCGGTTATTATGGATTTTTATTTGGCCTTTTTTGGGGCTAAAAAAAGATTTTAGAAGAAAGAAAACATCAAATGGTAAGTTTATGTTTATTTTTACAGGTACTTAGTTAAAGGTCCCCCCACATTATTGTTAGGGTTAGGGTGAGAGGGGGTAGGTAGGGGTGTATTTTTTGGGGGAGGGGGAGACTAGAGGTTTGGGGACGCCTAGTCACCTGGGGGGGAGGGGGGTTAAATTTTCATTAGGGCCCCCACCCACTGCTCAGGGGTGGGGGCCAGGGGGAAGGACATTAGGTCCCCCCCAATTTGTATTTAGGACCCCCACCCACCTCTCAGGGGTGGGAGCCAGGGGGAGGACATTAGTTCCCCCCCAATTTGTATTTAGGGCCCCCACCCGCCGCTCAGGGGTGGGGGCCAAGGGGAAGGACATTAAGTCCCCCCCTTATTCTTGTTTAGGGCCACCACCCACCGCTCAGTCGTGGGGGCCAGGGGGGAGGACAATAGGTCCCCCCCAATTTGTATTTAGGGCCCCCTCCCGCCTCTCAGGGGTGGGGGCCAAGGGGGAGGACATTAGGTCCCTCCCCAATTTTTATTTAGGGACCCCACTCGCCGCTCAGGAGTGGGGGCCAGTGTGGAGGACAATAGGTCCACTCCCCTTTTTTTACTTTAGCGCCCCCACCCGCCGCTCAGGGAGGGGGACCCTTTTTTTTTTTTTTAAACAGTGAGCAGCCACAGGATTTTTTACTTAGTTAAAGGTCCCCCCCCACATTATTTTTATAGTGAGGGGGGTAGGGAGGGGTTTATTTTGTGGGGGAGGGGGTGACTAGGGGTTTGGGGACCCCTAGTCACCTGGGGGGGAAGGGGTTAATTTTCATTTTGGGCCTCCACCCACTGCTCAGGGGTGGGGGCCGGGGGGGAGGACATTAGGTCCCCCCAATTTGTACTTAGGACCCCCACCCACCTCTCAGGGGTGGGAGCTAGGGGGAGGACATTAGGTCCCCCCCAATTTGTATTTAGGGCCCCCACCCACCGCTCAGGGATGGGAGCCATGGGGGAGGATATTAGGTCCCCCCCAATTTGTATTTAGGGCCCCCACCCACCGCTCAGGGGTGGGGGCCAGGGGGGAGGACATTAGGTCCCTTCCCAATTTTTACTTAGGGCCCCCACCCGCCACTCAGGGAGGGGGACCCTTTTTTTTTTTTTTTAAACAGTGAGCAGCCACAGGATTTTTTACTTAGTTAAAGGTCCCCCCACATTATTTTTATCGTGAGGGGGGTAGGTAGGGGTTTATTTTTTGGGGGAGGGGGTGACTAGGGGTTTGGGGACCCCTAGTCACCTGGGGGAGGGGGGTTAAATTTTCATTTTGGGCCCCCACCCACCGCTCAGGGGTGGGGGCCAGGGGGGAGGACATTAGGTCCCCCCCAATTTGTACTTAGGACCCCCACCCACCTCTCAAGGGTGGGAGCCAAGGGGGGGGACATTAGGTCCCCCCCTTATTCTTGTTTAGGGCCCCCACCCACCACTCAGGGGTGGGGGCCAGGGGGGAGGACATTAGGTCTCCCCCAATTTGTATTTAGGGCCCCCACCCACCTCTCAGGGGTGGGGGCCAGGGGGAAGGACATTAGGGCCCCCCTTATTCTTGTTTAGGTTCCCCACCCACCGCTCAGGGGAGAGGACAATAGGTCCCCCCCAATTTGTATTTAGGGCCCCTTCCCGCCGCTCAGGGGTGGGGGCCAGGGTGGAGGACATTAGGTTCCCCCTTCCAATTTGTATTTAGGGCCCCCACCCACCGCTCAGGGGTGAGGGCAAGGGGAGAGGACATTAGGTCCCCCCCCCAATTTTAATTTAGGGCCGCCGCTCAGGAGTGGGGGCCAGTGGGGAGGACAATAGGTCCTCTCCCCTTTTTTTACTTTAGGGCCCCCACCCGCTTTTTTTAACAGTGAGCAGCTTTTTTACTTAGTATTAGTAGTATTTACTTAGTAATTTTGACTTAGTATTAGTAAATTTGGCTGAAAGACCTATTTAGGTCTTTCAGCCTTTTGGTAGATACCGTGGGAATTAGGGAGTTATCTACCAATACCGTGGGAATTAGGGAGTTATCTACCAAGCGGCTGCAAGAAAAATCCCAAAATGCCAGAGTTCCGAAGTTCTGAAGTTGCCGAAGTGCCACTCTAAATAGGGTGATGTGTATGTTTTGTATGCAAGGTGATTTGTATGTTTTATAGCCCTATTTAGGGTTAATAAGTATGTAGGGGGTTATAAAACACCCCTTCATGTCTCATTAGACAGGTTTACATTTTGTCTGATACCAGCAAAGTTTATTGTATGTGTAGAAGCCCTATAAAGGGTTAAATGTGAAAGAGTTTATAAAATATCCCTCTCTGTCTCATTGGAGATTCTTGGCTGATATCAGCATATCTAATGGCTAGTGTACGACCTATTGAGGCTTGCCTTTACATGGCAGGTGAGCTTATATTCAAATGGCCTTTGAAATAAAACTAAAGAGCCTCCATTTTGTTTAAATGTACATGGGGATTTAGGCCAGAGCGCAGGCAATGTTTTTTGTTTTTGTTTTTACTATGTATTTTGAGCTGTTGGATACTAAACTACTGCTGCTGTAAGCGCGGTGCTTTATCTTTGTGAAATTCAAATGCTAGATGGCTATAAATTAAAGATATATATATATATATATATATATATATATATAATATGTTAAGACATATTATTACTAACATGTACACTCGTAGTCTAATACAATGGATGGTCAGTGTGACTGAAATTCAGACATAGACCAGCAATTAATTAAAACCATGAGAGAGTCTATGCTTAATGTAAATGGTACAGTACACCACTGATGCTTGAGTTGAAACTCAGGATATCTACACCAACCACTTAAAATTATGTTGAGGTTTGGTGCCTCTCTGTCTGTTAAAACTAACAGAAAATCCCTTGATGTGACATTATCTCCATGATTTAGGTAGCCATAAAAATAATAGATGTGAAGTAAATTTCATCATCACAACTAATTAACCCCTTAGGGCAAGATAGTTATTGGATTTGATAATATAAATAAACATGGAACAATCACACCATCTATTGGTCAAATTTGAAAATTGACAATTAGAGCTGCTTGGCTTCACACCGGCCAGCTCCCCCGCCCCTCGCGCCACCCCCTAGTTAAGGGGTGCCACCTACGGTGGGCCAGTTCACCCAACCTCCACAACCACACTACACACTATCATAGGATAGCTCTAAACTGAACAGCCCGAACCGACACATCCCTAACACTGATCTAGATTTAATACCACGCAATTCTAAACTACACGCTCGCAGCCACCTCTACAAACCATCCTTGATACACTACAACACATGTTCAAACAATTAAAAAAAAAACCTGTGCAAGACGATTACTGTTATAACTGTTTTAACCATGCTAATACTTTATGTTGGTCAAACCCCGCTGCAGCTGTTGGGGCACAGCGGAGCAATATGTTGGTTGTTACCTATAATATGCACAACAAAAATAAATTGACCATTAGGATGAGGCCAACATTCGTTATAATAGTGAACACCCATCTAGTTCCATTGATCATTTTTTCATGTGGATGAGATCTAAAGGAGAGAGATTGGGAGAGATGAATGGGGGTAATATGAAGTAGAAAGGGTGATATGGAGGAAAAATATGGGATTATGGGATAGGGGATGGGGGATGGGTGATTTGAAGGAGAGGGGGGAGGTGATTACTTTTAAAAAGTCTTCCATAAACTTGTTACCAACCATGGGACTGACCCATCGGGGAAAATAAGCAACAAAGTCAGCCATTTTCAACTATGTATTTGTGAGTTTAATGCTGGTAAATAACCATAACATACATAAAATTAGATTGTACATTCAACATAAAAAAAAAAAAAAAATATATATATATATATATATATATATATATATATATATAAAAAATGGTAAAACTAGATATAAACAAATAATAGTACACATTGTAAAATGAGGTATATGTAGAAAGTTAATAAATGAGATATATGTAGAAGTTATAAAAGTAGATATTTTACAGTATTACACAAGATTTTAGTAATATTATATTTAGATACAATATTAGTTTGAAATATAAAAAAAAGATGTGTTTAAAGGTTAAACTTTAAGGGCATAACTTTTTTTTTTTCATCCTAGATTACTATGTAACTGTCATTTCTTTTTAGTGTTTCATCAGGAAGTAAAGTCGAGTTCAATTGTATTTACAAAACTGGATTATTACACTCAGTCAGTCCTAAAATCTAGAAATCTTGGTTTTGTATCCAGCTGTTGGGGTCAATTTTATTGCTTAGGCTTAATGTATCAAATTATATATAATGATTAGAGACTGTTTAGTGAAATATTTTGAAAATGCTTAGTAGGGGCCTCTTCCTTGCCTGCAGAGCACATATTACACCACACCCTTAGTTATACCGTGTTATGCTGAGCAGGCTCACTTATCTACTCCTAACATACAGAATTGTACATGATGTTAGAACTGCTTGGTTTGCAAAGAATACTATGCCAATCTGTGATTGGCTGAATAATGTGTATCAACCTAGACTAAAAATCTATATATCCTTTTTGCTGTGAAGGATTAAACAAAAGGCTTGATTGAAATAAATTGCATTGTCTTGTGTGTGTTATTTCTAATGGGCCTTTTCCCAGATCTGAGAGAGATAAGCGGAAAGCAGAAATTTGGTGACAAATCCATGGCAGTGTGACAGACCTGAGAAATATCCAACCTGTCATGGTTTCCCTGTGCTGGTTATCCGAGAGTGCGTTCCTGATCGTATATTTCTGGTTTTTGACTTTGGCTTCGTTTTGACTTCCCTGACTTCTGGTATGCTTGACTTTTGGCTTTTCCTCATCGTTGTGTCTCCTTCTGTATCTCTGACCTCGGCAAGTATTCTGACTATTCTTGGATACATTAAGTCTGGCCATTCTAAGGCCCGGTTAAACATTATCCTTAGTCCTAGGTGTAATATAATCCTGCATGCTGGATCAACTCGTTATCCTGACATTACGACAGGGCCATAGATCCTGCAAAATTGTCAGCACATAGCAGCTTGCGAGAGAAAGCTAGAGGAGAATGATCACCATATGCATCAATTCGCCCAGGTTTTCAGTACGCTTCTTACTTGGCGGCTCATTTACAGCCTGATGTTATCCCGATTATCTCACCTCTGCCTAATGTATCTCCACCTATACTATATAAGGCCCCCGCGTTTTGATAGTAATATTCAAGAATGCCGGGGATTTCTAAATCAAATTAAGTACCACTTTGAGGCCTCATCGGGATCTTTTCCCACGAATAGACCTTGGGTACTTCATGAACCAACCTAAAGGTAAAGACTTAACTTGGGCCAATCCTTTATGGGAGAGTAATGGGAGTATTGTGTATAATTACCAGGAATTCCTTGCAGAATTCAAATTAATATTTGAACCATTAGGCAGGGAGGATGACGCTTCCACTGCCCTAATGCATATCAAACAAGGGAACCGGTCTATCTCGGATTATGCCATAGAATTTCACACCTTGACTTCTGACGTAGAGTGGACTAATAGCGGATTGCTCTCTGCATTTAAAAAAGGATTATCCGAGGCTATTCTTAATGAAATTGCTGCCAAAGATCTACCTAAGAGCTTAAATTAATTCATCACATATGTGATGTAGATTGATAACAGACTTAGGACCAGGGAAATTACTAGAAATAGAACCAGATGTATGGCTATTTCACTGGCACCTCGTTTCTATAAACCTATTGTCCCTGGCCTCCCTGTACAGTCTAAACCTGAACCATTGCAATTAGGGGTTACTAAACAGTCAGAGGCAGAGAAATAGTATAGGAGAAAAGAGGGTCTTTGTTTATACTGTGCCAAAAAAGGACATACGAGAGATGCTTGTCCTATACTTACCCCTAGAGTAAGTTTCATTAGAAGATGTTATCTCACACATTAATCACAAATTAATTATAAAAATATAATTTATTGTGACAATAATAATATTAATAAAAAAAATAATATGTAACATGCGTGATAATTTCAATGAATTGTTAGGTATAACATAAGTATACAATATGACAGTGGTTTAACACAATATAGACAGCTAAATAGCAAGTTATAACAACATGTATGCAGTTTTTAACCAGATTTACGACAGGACACTTTATTTTGAAATCAGCTCAACACAGAACACATGACGATTACTATTTCTAAAGTACGTAAGCTAATATAACTGGATAATTGCCTGGTATTTTATTTTTAAAGTTAAAAGTAATATAGAGTTCATTGGTTCACCTGCAGGAATGGAATTACGAATTCTATATATTATTAACGAATCATGACACCTTATTGTTGGAATCACCAGCTTTTATCCAAGTATATTCTGCCTTTTAGTAAAATCAATTAATTTAATTTAATAAAAAAACAGCATAATTACCAGTTATGTTGTAGATTTTCTATCAGATTTGTAGATATGTATCCCATAAATGGTGAATGCGAGTATGAAGAGAATTGTGGGAAAAATAGAAACATTTTCAGAGTTCTGCAGTTGTGTTAGTTGAAAAAAAATACAAAACATTAGGTGTGTCCAGCTTTGGCTCCAGATGTCAGATCTTAGATGTTAGATGTGAGTCCATCCTCAGAGTGAGAGTGTGTCTGAGTGTTTGAGAGTCTGAGAGTGAGAGTCTTGAGAGTTTTTAGAGTCTCTCCCTCTCTCTCCTTTGTCCTTAATTTTTAAAGGAGAAGTTCTCTATACGTCACTAGTTGATAGGACCAATAGAGAACTGTGGGCGTGTCTTCCCTACAGATTATCATCTAGATTAGTAGATGGCACAATTACATCACATTGTCAGGGGGTCCATTTACCTTTTTGTATAATGGGTTACAAATACAAAAAGAAAAGTCCTACGCTTACTCCTATCACTCCTGGGTGGCAGCAACGAACACAGTACACATCAGCTCCAGTACATGTAGTAAAAACCAAAGAAACAAAGTATAATGGGTTAACAGAATTTCGTGATGCGTTTGACATCATCTTGGCTATCCTTATGGCTACTATTCATCAAAGAAGCTGTCATCTACAAAGCCTTTTGGTTAATTTCAACCAGCCAGAGCGTCTGGTTTTGCGGTTGTAAAATTAGAATTTGAAATCTGTAGCCTTAATTTCACCCTTCCTTACAATGGAACTTTGTAAGATTCCATTAGTTTTAACAAAGTAAAATTAATTGCTTAGTGTTATCTGTCATTGGGGATCCTGTGTGAAGCTACATAATATTATTTATACGTCTATTACACATATTCCACTAACGTTAGTAAATAATTTGGCATTTCTTCATTTATATTATATCCATGAATATTCTATATTATTAACTTAGTACTATTTATATATGATTAATATACTTATAGTAAGTTTTATGTGGATTGTGTGTATGTATATATATATATATATATGTATATATATATATTTGGGTACGGCACATTTAGAGGAACGTATGGTTATGATATAATGAAACTTAATAAGAACAAAAGTCGGTTGAGGTGTGCCGAAACCAAAGTAAAGATAGACCTGTAAAAAAGAGGGCCCACCTAGATAATATGAAATAATAAAGAGTGCGGTGGAAGGGGAACTTCCGAGATCGTCGATGACAGGTAAGCAGGGGCTCACTGGGTTTAAATAGGACTAAGAGTCCCTCACACAATTACAGGCCAAGCCTTCCATTTGTGTACGGCACATTTAGAGGAACGTATGGTTATGGTATAATGAAAATTAATAAGAACAAAAGTCAGTTGAGGTGTGCCGAAACCGACGTGAGTTTAGACCTGTAAAAAAGAGGGCAAAAATGTAAGAAAACTATTTCTTTTGCCAGACATATTTTTTTTAGCAAGACATTCTTTAGACATTTCATGGAAAGCTAATCTGATTTATCTTTCTGGTTTATGGATGTACCTGTTGTATACAGAAGATTTCCAACGTCCCATGTTCTTAATGATATGTGTTGGTACGTGATTACCAGAAGCTGCTGTGGCCGCCCCAATAAGGAATGAATGGCCAGAGAATGAATGCAGGTTTTGTCCCAGTTTGAGTAACAATGTGCGTATGTATAGCATGAACTGTTTGGTGGTTAGGGGTTTCCTTTGAATGGCTATTAGTGGGGATTCAGGGTTAGTTGTAAGCTGTATCTTGACTAAGTTATCCAATATGTGAATTGGACACCACTTGGTAGAGGTAGGGTAATATTCAATCTCTACTGGGGGTCCAGTCTGGCTCGTTTTGGTATGAGAGATTGACAGAATATAATGGTCGTTTACTTTAGTTCGGTGTTTTCTCTTAAGGCATGACTTAAAGTCGGATGCCTTCTCCACAGAAAATTCTTTGGGTCTCAGTAAAAGGTTGTATAGGCTGCGGATTTGATTATCAGATTAGTGATATTTTCAAAAGGGGTCTTGTCTAGTAGAGCGGAGATTTTCCTAAATAGATTACTATCTATTGGAAGTCTTTTAATGGGATTATGGATTGTTAGTCTCTGAATGCCTCTTAGGACACCTTTGACTGGGTAAGATGCTAGGAATGGAGCTTTTGGATAAAGAGTTAACATGTAGTGTTGTATGTCTGTTAAGTAAAGTTTGATTGTATTGTATGCTAATTTTAGAGATATGTGGCAAAAGTTGTGAACGCAACCATGGTTTCTATGGAAAAAAACATTTACTACCTAGTAATCACGTACAAATGTTTTAAACAGATCATATGCTCTGGCATAGGCTTTCTTAGTATTGAGTGACAAACCAGCCTGTGTGAGCGACCCACTGTGACTTAACAGGGTATTTAGAGCATTATTAGGTCTGTGAACTATGGGGGTTCTTTGGGTTGTAAGTTTGCTGTTGCATGGACTCTGAAAAATTCCTGCAAATTAGAACGAGAGTGCGTCAGCTGCATTATTCTGAATGCCTGGAACGTGAATACAATTTAGACAGAACTACAGATTTGCCTTACTAAGGAAGTTTCCTTACTAAGTTCATGATAGTAAGGGACTGAGAGCGGCCTTTATGAATGATGATACATGCTGCCAAGTTGTTTGAAAAGCACCTCACTGATTCACCTCTCCACTCTTTAACCCAAATGTATGCTGCATCTACAATCGGGAAAATTTCAAACAGTGCTGAGGTTGTGTTGACATTTTCTACTGAGGTAGTCTCTGGTGGCCAAGAGTCGTATACCCAGTCATTGCCAAAAATCACTGCATAACCTATGGCTCCTGTTGCGTTGGTCCAAATTACCAAGGAAACGTCAGAGATGGGGGGGACGAATAATGACCTGCCATTCCAAGAGGATATAAATAGAGGCCACATTTTTAAATCGGCTCTAGCTAGTTCATCTAAGTTAGTTCTGGAATCCTCATCAGGGAGACCGTGTAAGAGAGAGAGAATTCTGGAAATAAATTACCTCCCCTGTGGAATTATCCTCATCGTGAAATTGAGTGACCCAAGAAGTGACTGTAGCTCTTTCCTGGTGCAAGACCCTTGTGAGGTGCAGATATTGATGTATGTTAGAATTCTTGAGGCAAGCTAGCTTGCATTGAAACAGAATTAAGTGTTATCCCCAGGAATGTAATCTCGGTGTTGGGACTTTCTGTTTTGTCCAGGGACTCCTAAATCCTCAAACAGTGACGGCATGTGATGTAGGCTACTTGGTGTGAGGTGGTATGGTTCAATAGAGAGACAATCGTCCAAATAGTGAATGATTACTGGACATCTGCATTTGTTAAGTAGGAGCCAGGTCAAAGTTTCGGTGAAAATATAAAAAATCTTGGGGCTACTTTTGGAGCCAAAAGTTAGTCTGCTTGCGAAATAATACTTGTCTTCTCACTTAACCATGCAGATGCCAGAGTGAGCGATGGATTGGCAGTAGTTTGAATGCATTTGTAATATCTGTTTTACTTAACCACACTGCCTTGCCGGAGTTAATGATAGCTTGTATGGCACTGTCTATTCTTGCATATTGTAAAGAGAAATCCTTGGATGTATCAGTGCATTTAAGCTAGGTGTCATGGAAGAGTGAGGTGCTGAAAAATCAATGATGAGTCTTTTTATTATTATTAAACTTCCCTGTAGCTATGCCTAGAGGGTTCGTTCTCCAAAAGGTGAAAGGTGGGGTTGTAAATGGCCCAATCCAATCATGAAACCTTTGTCGATTTTTTTATAGAGGAGTTCCTGTAGACTACTAGGGTCAGTGAGTGCTGACTGTAGGTTGGGCATTCCAGAATTCCTGTGGGGAGTGCAATGAAACCCATGTGAGAAACCACATGTGAGAAATTCCACCAGGTCTGAGGAAGGATAATTAGACAAGTAACGTTGCAAATTAGGTATGTTTATTGGTTTAGATGATCTTTTAGGGTACAATCTGTTTGGGCACATTGTTTTAGCATGTGCTCTTTAACAAAGTAAGCATACGTGAAGGAGTCTGCAAGCACTGTAACTACAACCTCCCGCATTTAAATTGTTACAGACTTGAGCCTTTCCCAGAAAAACAATTGGCCTGCCTAGTTTATCTCACAATTCTCTTTGGGCCATGGGTTGAAACTGGGGGGTTGGCATTGCTAGTGGAGGGAATTGCTACGTTGCTGGGACAAAAGTTAACAGTATGAGCTGCTGAGGAACATTTGGTGTTTTGAGACCCGCAAAATGTCTACAAAATAATTCAGTGTCTAACTGGCCCCAGTCGGTAGGTGTATTATATTGGGCCAGTGACGCAGCAGATCTAGATGCGAAGGACTTGTGGTAGTCATAAAAGGCTTAGCCTCTGTATTTATATGCTAAGTCTGTTAACAAATATAAATAAAGTTCCTCTCTACGGAGGGGAAAGCAGAACAAATTACGTCCATGTAGAGGTCAAAATCCAGGACAAATTCAGGAATATTTAACTTTCTGTTAGGTCTCAGGTCTCTAGATTTCATAACTAATGACAAGTCTTCGAACGTGTATGATCTGTTCTCAATTATGTCTTGAGAAGCTATGAGCAGAGAAGCCAGATTAATGTCTTTCCCCTCTATTATGTCCCGTTTAATCTTTTGTTTGGGTTGATTATATTGGTACTTTTAGTGGGTAGAGGGTTAGCGTTACCTCCTGGGTTAGGCTCTGGCTGGACTATAGGTACTGGAGTCTCCGGAATGGTTGGTCTGTTATTTGATTCCAAATTATCCAACCTGTTATTTATTGTAGCTACGGAAGACACTAGGGAGGCCATCATGTTGTTCAGTTCTGACATACTATTTTGAATAATATTTTTCAGAACTAGGGCCGGATCTTTTATTATCCTCATTTGAATTTAATAGGTGAAAAAGTTCGGCTTTCCTGGCTGTGGCCCGGGAAGGGAATATTTTTATTTTTAAGTTCAGCAGTAATTTTAGGTATTGTCCAGGATCTATAGCTGGACGCTAGGCTGGCCAGTACGGTTTGCCTTGTCTGCGAGCCTGGTCTGGGTGCTGGTAACTGACAGGTCATTGCCTTGTATGGAAGCGTTAGACATGCTATGGGTGTGAGGCAGATAACTTAGTTAATATGGTATCCGTGTTTACTAGTTTAGTGCCCTAAGGTGAAATTACATTATTCTCACTATTTTAGGTGACGGATGACGCCCTTACTAATTGCCAAGTGGATTTGAGATGCTCTACCTATGATTTGGCTCATGGGGCCTTTGTGCCACTGAGGTAGGTGGCGGGGTGTTGGTCTCTCGGTGACACGTATAAGATTTTAATATTGATTGGCCGTGACAAGTGAGGCCCTAACTATTACCTGATGCAAGACGATAACAATGTGTTGGGCCAATTGGGCTTGTACCTCTGATCATAGGGATGAGTGTTGGCCTTGAGGGACCACTCAACTAAAGGCAAAGAGGCCTATGGAATTATACCTAATTGGTTTGTTAACCTTAAGTTACTACCTAACTGGGTTTCTTTTTCTTCACACATACCTGCTATTGGCCTGTAGGACGTGGTCGGTAAGAATTACCCCTACTTGTTCCTAAAACATGTCATAATGATTGAGTTATAACCTAAACCCTTAGAAGTATGAAAAATGACAAGGACAAACCTAGGAAACAAACTAGATACTAACCTTATGTAATTGGAATAGAGTTGGGGAAGCTCGGACTTGTCCTGGAAGGGCGGTCACTTGAACTAATGTTTGGAGAAATAAACCGTGACTTGTTTTAATTGACAGTCCTGGTTATACCAGAAAAGGACTACAGGGGAAAATAAGGGTTGGTAGGTATTAATTTAGAGGCCTACCTCTTTAAATAATGCAGAGTTGTATTTCATAAAGGTGGAACCGTTACAACGAATGTCAGCAATTGTATTATCTTGTTTAAAATAGGAGGGAAAACAAAAACGTCATGTAATTGCTAGCTTAACTTATATTACTTGCTTAACTGGCATTGACTGAACAATCAAATGAAAATACATGAAATGCATTTGGGGAATATGACTAGAGTTAAGCGAACCTGAACCGCAAAGTTCGGGTTCGTACCGAACATTAGGTTTTTTGAAACCCGGACCTTAACACGGACATATCACTGTACGTTCGGGTTGGAGTTCGGTGTTCAGCGATTTAATGGCACGTTTCCAAAGGCTGCAGGGCAGCCAATCAACAAGCATTTGACTTGTGTGCCCTTAGAAGCCATCACAGCCATGCCGGCTAATGGCATGGCTGTGATTGGCCAGTGCAGCATGTGACACAGCCTCTATATGTAAGCTGGAGTCGCGTAGCGCCGCACACACATGCGGTCTTATTAGTGTAGGGAGAGGATGTTGATAGGGACTGCTTAGGAAAGAATTCTGCAAACTAGTACATTACTGGTGTGGGGTACGTAACTTTGTTTTGAATTTACTACATCGGTCACTTGTAATATTGTTTCCCACCTACAACACTTGTTACACAGATCTAAGTGATAGAAAACAGATTTATATTTTCTACACTAGAAACTACCAGATAACAAACTGCTATATTTAAACCAGTGATCAATAGCTAAGAGGTACTTCAACAATATTGTCATTTTGGGGCAATACCCTCAAAAGTCAAACTGAGAGGTCAGTTTATAGGGAAAACTGTTGCCTGGATACAATTCTAAAACAATTTCCATGTCCTTTGCAGACTTTACATGTTGGAAAAACACAGGTGCCAACTGCTGTGGCTTTCTGCAGTGTGCATACCGGCAAGGAGGGCAGGGTTAAGGAGTGGGTGGAAGATGATGTGGAGGATGATGAGGTCCTAGACCCCACATGGAATCAAGGTCATGCGAGTGACGTGTGCAGTTTGGAGGAAGAGGCGCTGGTCGCACAGAGGCATCAACACAGCATAAGAGGGAGCAGGGTGCAAAAGCGGAGCGGCAGTCCCCTAGCCCTCATCGGCATGTATTAGATCGAGAATTACTAGTTATCCAAGTAATACATGTAGCGATCAAAGGATCCATAACAGTTGAGCCAGATTGAGTACCAGATTTAACGATCCATTCGTAGTTTCACAGTGAGGTGAGCAGTCCGGTGACCAGGACCCAGACACTGTCTGGGTGGTGGTCGGACGACCGGGACCCAGTATGCCTGATGTTGAAGTTAGGAGTCACAGTGTGGAATGGATTAGAAGGGTCTGGTGCAGGGTAACCACATGCCCCCTGCTGTTAATCACCAGCGTTTGTGCGGCCACATACCAGGACCCTGATGCAGCTTCAGTAAAAAGAGTACTTGATACCAGAAGCCATCACCAGACTGATCCACAACTTGGAACAGGATGTGACATTCACTGTAGTGGCGTTGCACGCTTTTGGCGTTCTCACCCTGCTGCTGATCGCCTGTCTGCGCTGCAGCGTAACTTCGGCCTTCTCGCTCACCGCCTCATGAGACTGTGCGAGCAGCAGCAGGCGATAGTGGAGTTTCAGATGCAGCACGCACTGTTCAGTCGTTCTGCGGAACAATTTTCTTTTTTTATATATCCCAATATTTTGGGGGCTACCCCAATTAAAATAAAAAAAATATATATATAAACAGTGTTGGCTACCACGGTCACCGCCTCCTCAACCTATGGGTCACTTAGTATAAACTATGTACACAATAGCAGAGGCTTGTGAAGGCCTTTTCTCCATGCATCAGGAGTTGAGCATTTCTCCATGCATCAGAACTGCAAGAAATGCACCGCAGGCTGCAAATGTTTATTTTTTTGTATGTCCCAATATTTTGTGGGCTACCCCAATTAAAATAATAAAATATATATATATATATATATATATATATATATATATATAAATATATATATACAGTGTTGGCTACCTCCTCCTCCTCCACTGCCGCTTCCACCTACACCGCCACGGTCACCGCCTCCTCAACCTATGGGTCACTTAGTATAAACTATGTACACAATAGCAGAAGCTTGTGAAGGCCTTTTCTCCATGCATCAGGAGTTGTGCATTTCTCCATGCATTAGGAGTCCAAGAAATGCACCGCAGGCAGAAAATGTTTCTTCTTTTTGTATGTCCCAATATTTTAGGGGCTACCCCAATTAAAATAAAAAAAAAATATATATATATATAAACTGTTGGGGATAAAATCAGCCCCGGGCCCTTTGTGGATGATGGATATTTGCCAACTCAGAGCTCTGGAAATTGTAAATGAATAGAAGAGACGTGTTCAATAACCAATTCAAATTTTATTCATCTGTCAGTTATATTAATACCCCATTTTCATAGCAGGATGGGAGGGGGAAAAATTAGCATATGGGCGTGACAATGACATAGATTGTTTTTCACAAGTTATGAGCAGCTGTTTCTTATTATAATTCTACGTTATATAACGCATGCATATTTGATCAAAACCAGATATTTACAAATACCAAGATCTTGGACAATTAACAAGAACATTTCGAAATCAGTATGGTCATTCTCGTAAATGATATTAGATAAATGCTTCCCAGAATCGAAGATACAATTCCAAATTTACTCTTGGTTCACATTAACCCTTATATGAACAGCTAGGATAGATAGTGAAATGGATATTCATATCTACAATTCCCCTCTTAGATCATATCATGATCTACCTTACGGAAAATATCCATGGGAGGCCTGCGGCAGAGAAACAAAAGGTGGTATATTCAGATGTGCTAATCACGTCTGCGGGACTTTAATTATTTCTTCACCTCAATTTCCCCCATTTGCTCTGTGCCGTAGGTTTTCCCTTTAAGAGGAGTTCGAGCTGTCAATTTTCAGCTTTTTCAATTATCTGTTGAATACATCTTTTAAGTGTACAAGTTAAATATTTCAAACAGCTGACATGTTAACCAATTTTAAACAGACTGACCATCATGTTATCTGTAGCTTGAGCCTTGGGTCAATACAGGCAAAGTGTATTATTCCCAACAACGGGAATATTATTATTATAATTCACAACGTAAACACATATAGTCAAAATGGGAATAATATCTATTCCCCATCTTTGGACCAGGGTCTTGGATTACCAGTCCACCCAGTGAACTTGGGCCAGGTCTAAAAACCCAGTGGCAAAAACTCATATTTGAGGAAAAAAGCACATCTGGGGAAACTCTTGTGAGGGCCATGACTGTGTAGACATGTCATCCCCTCACGTTGACAGCATTAGTGACTTATAAAAACCCGCACTTGTAAGTAAATAGCTCGGTTATCGAGATTGGGAAACACTTCTTGATTAGTTTGAAAAGGCCCACTTACATATTAAATCATGAGATAATTTTTAATCAGTTTGCAATTCTAACAATAATCCCAATCCAGTCCTATGCCTCCTAATCACATCCCTATTTCGATGGTCCAATCATATCCACACTTAATACATGGGCAGGGCCGTCTTTAGTAACGAATGGACCCTGGGCAAGTGTTTGCTTGGGCCCCCTGTGCCCTGCCGCTCTCGCCCCTCACTCCCTGGTATGCAATCACGGCATCCATCCCAACGCAGTGGCGGTACTAAAGTAGAATGAATTTTATTGGGACCCCCAATTGCAAGGTTGGACTAAAGGTAGAACCCCATCTGTCGTGCAACTCCAACAATGCTTTGACAGCTGGGACTCTACCAATTTCCCATGCTTGCAGGGTTGTATTTAGCACTGAGCCATGTTAGTATGTTTGAATGTAAGCATGTGTTTGTATGGAGTATGTTTGTGTGAATGTGTTTGTGGTACTGGAGTTTGAATGCAAGTGTGCATTTATGTGTAGTGTTTGTTTTTGAATGTAGGAGTGTGCTTGTATGTAGTGTTGACGTTTCAATGCAGGAGTGTGTTTTATATGTAGTGTTGAAGTTTGAATGGAGGGGTGTATTTGTATTTAAAGTTGCGGCTCAGATGCACAGGTACACACTCTGACGCACAAGCAGATACACAGATACATACACTGACTACATACAGATAAACAGGCACATACACTGACAGACACACTGACACAGGTACATATATTGACACACACACAGACACATACACTGGTAGACGTACTGACAGACATACTGACACAGGCACATATACAGACATACTGACACACAGACACATATACCGACATACTGACACACACACACAGACACATACACTGATCAACATACTGACACACATACACTGACAGAAATACTGACACCCACACACTGACAGATATACTGACACCCACATACACTGAGAAATACTGACACACACACACAAGCACATACACTGACACACACAGACTGATATACTGACACACACACACACAGACATACTGGCACACAGACAGATATACTGACACATGCATACACATGCACTAACAGACATACTGACGCACTGACAGACATAGACATACTGACACACACAGATATACACACACATATATACTGACACACAGACAGACAGACAGACAGACATACTGACACACACACAGACATGCTGACACACACACACATACACTAACACACACATAACACACACACTAACACACATACACTAACACACACTAACACACACATAAACACACACTAACACACATAAACACACACTAACACACATACACTAACACACACAAACACACACATACATACACTAACACACAAACACTAACACACACATACACACACACAAACAAACACACACACACACACACAAACACTAACACACACATACACACAAACAAACACACACACACATACACTAACACACACATACACACATTTTTTTTTTTTAAATGTAATCCCCCCCAGCCTCCTTACCTTTTGGAGTGCTGGGGGGATTCCCTGGGGTCCAGTGGTGGTGCTGGGCTCCTGGGCGGGTGGCCGGTCGGGCAGGAAGGCGGGCGCGTGAGGGAGCACTCACTGCTTCCTCTTCAGCTCCCTCGCGCGCCGCATAGGGATGCCGGCGCCGGAAGATGACGTCATCTTCCGGCTCCGGCATCAGTGCGGTGCGCGAGGGAGCTGAAGAGGAAGCAGTGAGTGCTCCCTCGCGCGCCCGCCTTCCTGCCCGACCGGCCACCCGCCCGCCCGCCGGGGTCAGCGGGGCCCACGGGGCAGGTGCCTCGGGCCCCCCAAGAGAAACTGGGCCCGGGGCAGCTGCCCCGTTTGCCCCGCATTAAAGACGGCCCTGTACATGGGAATCCATCCTTGGTACACTTAACATACATCAATGACACATATAATACATCCATGCCTGAGTAAGCTAACAATTCCTCTCTCTCTGGCTAACTCTACAAAATTACAAAATAGTTCAATAGTCCAGCATAGTCCAGAAAAATAGAATACGTCTTTCAAGGAGTATATAGAATCTTAGACACCATAAACTTTGTTCCATAATCTTAGACATCATAACATAGCTAAGGGTAGCAATATGGCTGACAACAAGACAATGTCAGCTTCCACATAGTTCTTAATTCTTCTGTTTCCTGGATGTTCACCACAATACTCTGTGCAACACCCCAATTGTTAAAAGGGTAATACAGAAATAGCGGCATTAGACAGCACTGCATCTTCAGGACTTTCCAAGTTAGTATCCTCATAAGTAAGCATCTCAGTTTCTTCGGCCAGCGTGGATTTTGACCAAACAGATTTAATTGCAAAAAAGGTAAGTAGGCAGGTAGGTCAGCCAGAGAGATTGGTGTGTAGTCCCAAATATCAGGCGGCACAAATATTCCAGTACGGTCTCTAAAATCATACAAACACAAGGATCAGCATGACATCAATAAATTAATTATCTAGGCTAAACTCTAATTAGAAACTAAAGTTAAACTCTTAACTAGTGTAACATGTACATCTCTCAGTTTTGCTTATAATTCATTGAATTTGTCCTTTATAAAATTTTAATATATAATTTTCCTTTAGAATGCCTTTGTATGGATGAGAGAAGCACTCATTCTATATAAATGCTTGTTGAGTACTAAAACACTAACATATACATATTGGAATAATTCCCAATAAAATGCTGTTCTTAAACTTAAACCTTGATTTGATAATCTCAATTAATTACTTTAATAAAATTGGAATGCTGAAGTCTGTCAGTTTTGTGGACCCTGATAACATCTTTTGAAACCGAAACCCTTTATAGATCCCGATGTCCAAAAAGCCACCAGTTCTGTATGAGCGTGATCATGTTTTAATACATGGTGGACCCTCCATACAGTTATCCCACTTAAACAATATTTTTTTTCAGAACAACTAGGAATGAAATAGGAGAAACAAAATGAATTACTATTGTTCCAAAGTGCTTTGTTTAATACAGGTCTAATACAGGGGCAGCAAACTATAGAAAAGTTGTCTTGCTGTGTTAAGGTTGCAAGTGGCCTCTGATAAGGAAGGGACAGCAAACTATAGACATATGTTATATTAAGTTGCCCTCACTTGTCAGGTCTTGGAAACCCACTTATTTTATTGCAGATGCCTCTGATACCATGGTACAAATTGACTAAGCATACTTATTATTATCCTATTTTATTTTAGTTATTTCACATTGCGCAGCCTATGCAAACAATGTCTAGGTCCCAACTTCAGCTTGTACATCCTCTAAGAGCCAGCATAAATACTGTTTTATCACTCAAAACTATATACAAAGTATTAAAAACATGAACCATCTGTGTATTAGGCTGGGGTTGTTGGCTGTGGGTATAGGTTGGAAGCTGTGGTTGGTATTGAGGAACCTGCCAGGGTGGGTCCTTGAAAGCCACCTGGGCCAGGTTCTCCCTTAGCACCGGGTTCTCCTTTGTTTCCTTGAGCACCAGGTTCACCATTGTTACCCTTAGGTCCAGGGGAACCTCCGGGGCCTTGAGGTCCAGGAGCACCACAGGCACCAGGGAAGCCAGGGGCACCAGCAATACCAGTGGGGCCAGCTTGATCGGGAGAACCGGGTTCACCACGAGCACCTTGGGGTGAATCCCTGCTATCCATAATTAAAACAGTGCTGAAGTTACCACCTCTACAAAAGTTAGACCCTTTGATAAAATCCTCTACCTCTGCCTCTAAAACTTTTCTGATTCAATCTCCTATCACCTCCCAAATGTCCTTGTCTCGCCTGCTTAATATCACAATCCTTTGTGACCGATACAACATACTTTTCCTTCTTTCTTTATATCAAAACAACCTGCTGTATCATTCTCATGAATCTTCCCAAGAAATTCAGTTGGGGTCAAAGAGGGCCAGTCACAGACCAACAGTTTAACCAAAAGTGAACAAGGAGGAAGCATATTCCATATGCAGGTCGAGATTACCTAACTTACACCCTCACACCCTGTTTACATTTTTAAAGGGGATTTTCACTGCATAGTGTCTTTGATAAACATGATTTTTTTTAAGTCTTAGCTAGACTTCTATTACTCCTTGGGTTGGAGGAAAGCCTTTGGCAGGCAGTATTGTGCACAATTGTCTATGGTAGACAATTCCTCTTTGGTAGAGGTTCACCTTTGGCAGGTGGTAAAAAGATTTTCGAGCCTTTGGCAGGCTGTCATGTCATGTCATATAATGTAATGTACATGTACATGTGGGTTTTGCAGACTAAAATGGTTTAGAAAAAAAAAGGGTTAAAAGGGAATATTGTTTAAACCCTGTATGATGGATGTTTGGCAATACTCCAGCTTGCTAATGTATGTGCTATTTTATGATATGCAACGCTGATTTTAAGCTTAAAGTCTTAATTGAGGGAATGTCAAAAGTACATGTAAAGGTGATGATGAATAAGAGAAACAAAATAGAGGTTATTTAAGGGGGGCTACAAATTCTAGAACTAACATGATTTCTCTGCATGTATGTTTGTTTGCATAATGAGCCCTTTATTTTTATACTTGGACAAAAGTACTATAAGCCCACTACACTTTTTCATGAGAGTGGGATGTATGATTGTTTATATGATGAGCCCTTTATTTTCATATTGGGACAAAAAGTCACTTCATTCAAAATGGCAAACAGTGCACCACATTCTTTCTGCCCTGTGTGTTTGTTGCAGAGAATTTATGTTGTAAATTTAGATGATTATAAATTAGAGAGCAAAATTTATATTTTCAGTGGTCCAACACATACTTCATTTTGTGCTGAAAGCTAACTTGTAGTAATCCAGTACGTCACATGTTGTATGTGCTTTAAATTGTATGTATTCTGTAAATTGTTGTATGGGGATGCTGAGATTTTACTGATTGTGACCCAAACTGTGCAGAAGTGGGTTTGAAATTTTGGTCATGGAATGTAGGATCAGAAAACCATGGACAAAGGTTTTTACCTGTGTTGTTATGACTTTTGGGAACTCAAATTGACCGGTCAAAATTTTGCCATGCCTTTAACATGGAGTAGTATAAATATTTTGAGTCTTTGAGAGTTCTGACAAATGCAGGTGATACCATGTCTGTGTAAATAGAGAAATTCGATTGACAGGGTACATATGTTGCAACTGGTTAATGCAAGTGTTATACAAATGTTTAAGTCAAACGCGTTATATGGCAGTACGGGATCCCTTCTTTATAAAGAAAAAACAAACTTTATAAAGAAAAAACAAACCCTTTGGTACCAGAACTTTTAAATAAATCTGATACAAACTAAAATTGGTATACCTTACAATAATATGTTCTGAATACAGCTGTTAAAAGTTTATTCTGTGTAAATGGTGATTGTGATAAATGTGTGTTTTGGTTACTCATTTTGAAGTATGTTTAATTGTCATGTATATTAATGGGTATTTTGCTGTGTTATTTTAAATTATATTTGAATAAGTTTGTCTCAGTATTGATACAGATGGAAATGGCAGCGTAATAATATATTAAATAACTGATTTATTATTGAATACTAGTCCAAGAGCAATATGAGTTGTAATCTTAACAAAAAAAAAAAAAAAAGAGGGGGTGGGGGGGGCTGTTTTTGTACGTTTTAACTGATTTCCAAAATTCTGTTGCAATAATGGACTTCCAGCCAGAATTTGACTTTCCTGTCCAGTTGCCAGTTCTATGATCTAATCTTAAAGCAATACTGCTTGCATAGTTTGCAGACCTGCATAATGCACAAACATGGGAACCTACATTATGTCTGTGTTTCTTTTGAGGGACACCGAGTGTGACATTTATTAATTTATTTTGGATTGAGTTAATTGCCTGTCCATGAATATGCTTTTTGTATTGGCATGTCTGCTGGATATCTGCTACATTCGCTGTGTTCTGTGTTATAAGATGACATGTGGGATATTACAATGAGTATGAAGAATATTTAAAGAATATTTGCATGTCATTAATGCAAGCCTTTAGTGTCTTTTTACAACAGATTAAAAAACGCTGATCAGCCGACAAGGAAGGGGCCCCTGGGAAAGAAAAGAAAAAAAAAGAAATCTTCTGCTTTTCAAAATCGTGGATCCACGTTTCCAATTTTAAATGGCTCTCTCTCTCTCTCTCTCTCCGTACTATTAGGGGAGTATTAAGAGTTAACTCTACTTTTAAAGTGCATTGCATTATTTAAGTCAAAGAAAATAAAAAAATTGTTATCTTTAACAAAAACAATTGTTATATTATATTGTTATTATTATGTACTAACCATTTTAAGACCCATCACAATCAAAATCCAGACCAATTGTTTTTTTGCCCTTTAAAAATAGTTACACATGACTGGAGAGGAGGTGATTACATAAAAAAAATAGGGCTAGAGGAGATGAAGTTTATTTTTAATTTCAATACACTCATTCCACACGGCTTGAATTCCGATTTTGAAACATGTCATTTTTTTAAAGAAAAGTTAATTTCATTAATTATATTCTTTAGGGTCTTTAAGAGGGATAAAGAGAGGAAAAAAAGGAGAAAAAAACCAAAAAACTTTATTTGCACAAGGTTTTTGACTATTAGTGAATTAATCTTATATTTTAAGGTACCAACAATAAATTTGGCAAAATATAAATATATTTCTCTTTATAAAAAACAGAGATATGATACTAACATAAGCACTGGCACTTTAAGACTTTATAACATTGGTTGATTCATAAATGTTGATAATATTCACAATATATAAGCACCCTTTTTTATCAGTATTGCTATTGCACTTTATTAAAACGGTTCGGGGCAATAGAATGATAATATGATGTATTCATAATGTAATTGTTATTTATGTACGTTATTTCCCTCTTTGCCATAAATGTCCCGAGATGGAACGCACACGTCACATAGTGTGCGTTCCAGCCGGCTTGTTGCCATGCCAATATGACGTCATCACGCCGGAAACCGGGCTGACGTCTTCAACGGAATGACGTCATAACCCGGAAGTGACGCACGACGAAACCGGAAGTGCGTTCCACTGCGAAATTTTTGCGTTCCAAGAACAGAAAGTCGCAAAAACCCAGATATAAAAGGACAATAAAGAAGAGGAGAAGTATCACCGACTGAGGAAGCCCCTGGCACGGGGCGAAACGCGTATCGGTATTACAGAGACTCCCATTTTTTTGGGACTATTTTATCATATTGTATATTGTATGTTTTATTGGAGAAATTCTCCCCTTTTTTTTTTTGTTCCTGTTTTTACTATTTGGATAAATAAACACTTTACTGTTATAGTAAGTGTTTTCAGCTTCTTCTTTTGGTCACCAGAAGATCCACAGAAGGAAAGGGACATCCTATTAATGGTCCCAGTGCTGTTCCCATGAGAGCCACATGTACTTGTTTGGCTCTCGGTTTGTGAGTACCTGATCATCTTCCTTTAAATTTTGGATATCCATTTGCTGACAATATTACACTATATTGCTGTTTTTATTTCCTTTTAGATATTTTAAGGAGTGTGATCCACCTATTGTATGTATTGTATTTGTGCCTATTCTCGAGTGGTATAAGGGGTTTCCCACTCAGGTGTTAGATCGCACTCACATTGTCCTCACTTTATATATTGCACTTTTTACCACTATTGTTATATCAGTGAGACCAACTATGTTATATTACTCTACCTATTCAGACAAACTATTGTACCTTTTAACTATTGGTGCAGCCCTTTTCCTGTATTTATTTGTGTTACATTGCCACCGAAGGCATGATTTTCCAGCTTTACCAAGATATACCGTATACATATCAGATTCAGAGCTACCAACGAGCTCTAACCTACCAATACCATTCCAAACCTAACTGTTCTTAGAAAACTAAAACTACCATACCTATGAACAAATTACCTACCCCCCTACTTTTCTATCCACCCCCGCCGCCGTGACCAAGTGAGAGCTACACAATAAAAAGGGAGGGAGGGTGGGACAACAACAACAGGTAAGTGAGGATTAAGTAAGATGGTCCTTAAATCTAAAATGGCCCCTAAAATGGCCCCTTACCCAAAACCCCACCCCAATATCCATATAGCTAATACATACATACCCCTGTTCTATGCCTGTCTCTTAGCAATGTCAAGGCCTATTCCCCTTAGCTGTGCTGCTCCATGGGATACATGACATATGCTTAGTCCTCTTTTGGCATATGCTTAATCTAACCCATACCCCCAAAAATACTCAGACACCTTGTATTGGGAAAATTATTGTCACCGATTTAATGATATATCGATAAACATATAAAATAATAAGGTCATTGTTAACACAATACATAATACATTATTAACCCCCATTCCTTTAACATTGCTATCCCGACAATGACCCACATAAACAATCATTGATACCACCTATAACATATAAATAAATAAACATAAAAAACATAAACCATTGCCACTGAGGCATGATTTTCCAGCTTTCACAATGTAGGGGCATACCAAGATACACCCTACACACATCATATTCGGAGCTACCAACGAGCTCAAATTTACCAATACCATTCCAAACCTAACTGTTCTTAGTGAACTTAAACTAGCATTCCTATGATCAAATGACCTACCCCCCAACTTTTCCTTTCATCTCCCGCCACAGCTCAGAGCTTGACTCCTTAAGCTACCTGAGCCCCCCCCAACAAAAACCCAGCTTTCTGTAAACATTCCTGAAAATCTAGCAACAGAAAAATAAACACGATCTGGCTGGTAATATCCAGGAAGCTTCCAAATACCGATGCCTAACAACCCTCCTCCCCACTCGACGAATATAATTCGCCATCATTTTATTCACCTTACCCCTGCTTTTTTCCAACGCCCTCATGTCCCTAGCATTACGCCAGTGCAAATGGGAAAATCATCTCAGACCATACCACCACCAACTCTGGGACCAACTGCTGCAAAGTATCAACATTCATCATCTTCATCTGCTCAAGCAATTCCCACTGCGGGTCCTGCCCCAAATTGTTCCTCCCAGCGTGTACCAATACCACATTTGACACCTGACCCTCACCAACCTGCTTCCATAACTCACAACACACCCCCTGCCAGCTGGAACCCCCAAAACCAAACCACAAAACTGGGACTAGTGAACGTGGAAAGCCTAGCTGCATGCCATGACGAAGATATCAATATCATACACCGACAATCCTTTCGGATACGATAAATGATGTATCAGCTGGTACTTACCAGGTTCCTTCTTTGACACCACCCCAATGGGGAAACCCAAAGATCTGCCAATGGTGGCGCCACAAACGTCCCCGCCATCCTCCCCAGTTGGACCATCTTCATCAACTTTTCCCGCACGATACCGGGAAAAAAACAGGTCATGTCAAACTAACCTAATTGCATTCTGCAAAGAAGTAAGTAGAAGTATAGATCAGGGTGTTGCAGTGGATGTGATCTACTTGGATTTTGCCAAGGCATTTGATACGGTTCCTCGCAATAGGTTAGTCTTCAAACTAAAAGAAATTGGTCTAAGTGATTATTCTTGTTCTTGGGTAGTACATTGGCTTTAGGATAGAGTACAATGAGTTGTCATTAATGGTAAATTTTCAGGCTGGACAAAAGTGGTAAGTGGTGTCCCTCAGGGTTCTGTTTTGGGACCGCTTCTTTTTAACATATTTATAAATGATCTTGAAATGGGCATTGGAAGCCATATTTCGGTGTTTGCAGATGACACAAAACTTTGTAAAGTAATAAAATGTGAGCAGGATATTTCTTTGCTGCAGAGGGATTTGGATAGATTGGGGGATTGGGCACTAAAATGGCAGATGAAATTTAATGTAGAGAAATGCAAAGTTATGCACTTCGGGGATCAAGAATGCACAAGCAACTTACACCCTAAATGGTAGTGAATTAGGGGTAACCACACACGAGAAGGATTTGGGAACTGTGATAGACAACAAATTAGGCAGCAAAATGCAATGTCAATCTGCAGTTGCACAGGCCAGTAAGGTTTTTGTCATGTATAAATAGGGGCATAAATTATTGGGATGAAAGTATAATTCTGCCTCTTTATAAATCGCCGGTAAGACCACACCTTGAATATGCTGTGCAATTTTGGGCACCTGTTCTAAAGAAGGATATTATGGCACTAAAAGTGCAGAGACGAGCTACAAAAAGGAATGGAGCATTTTAGTTACGAAGAAAGGTTAAAAAAAATTAAATCTCTTTAGTTTGGAAAAATGGTGCCTCAGAGGGGATATGATAACATTATACAAATATATTTGGGGGAAAGTACAAACCATTATCTGGAAATCTATTCATAATCAGGGCTATACATAGGACACAAAGTCACACATTTAGGCTGGAAGAAAGGAGATTTCATCTAAGGCAAAGAAATGTTTTTTTTACAATAAGAGTAATAAGGATATGGAATTCTCTGCCGTAAGAGGTGGTTTTGTCCATACAGATGTTTAAACTGAAATTGGATAAATTTAGCAAAAACATAACATACAGGGATTTAATTTCTAATAAGTGGGTGTGGCGAAAGTAACCTCGCCACTGTTTTTTGGAGGGGCCTGTTTGCCAGCCTCCTGCCCTGCGACTATGGCCCTGGGATATATTGCCCTTCTAGGAACTGATTTGGGCATAATGGATTTTTAGAATGCTGTTTCTGGCCCTTTAATTCCCAGAGAAAGGATTTGTACTTTTAAACTGGCACTTCGGATGCAGTCGAAGTGCCAAAGTCGTCAAAGTGGCCGCCATTTGAAAACCAAACACGTGGTGGCGGCCATTTTAACTCATTCAAACGCAGTCAGCTGTGTGTGCAGCCAAATCTATGGAACTGTTTTCGGCTACCCAATTGCACGAACACCGCTGACCCGTACCTTCTACTCTACTTCAACACTGCGGCTGGAGACTAAGACCCGTTCGAAGATTCGAACGCTTGTTCGAATGGGACTTAATCATTTACTCAGTGTAAAATAGACCGACCGCACAGCCCAAATCCATGGAACTGTTTTGGGCATGAAAATGTGCTTGCGGTCGGTCATAAAGGGACCCCAACCTAACTTTTTAACCACCTGGATGGATTCATGTGATTTTTACATATGTTGCTCCCCAAGTTATGCTGATCACAGAAATATAAATACGTTTTATTCGTATGTGATGTAAACTCAGGGAGTTATAAAAATTTATAAAAAGTATGATTTTTCAGCTTGGAGATAATTGAGTAGATACCGTAAGAAACTCAATTATCTCCCAAGCAGAGGGGAGGGAATCTGTGGGTTGTAACCATTGTTTGATTGGCTAATGTATAATTGTCTGTGTATAATTGTCTGTGGGCATCTCCCTTACATGGGAGAATTGCATAAAAGCAGAGTGTGTGTCATTAAACCAGAGTTCTTCTTCACCCTCAATCTAGAGTTCTGTCTCTTATTGGGGGAATTGCTATATCACTACAAGGGATTGCTATGCTCTGCATGCTCCCTTAGCTAATCACTACTAAGATCTTTTAAGAGCTTGTTCCAGGTTCACCCACTGGAACCTGGAGCCTTGTCGTAGGTCCAGGGTGGGTAGGAGACGGCAAGACCCCAACCAAGCTGCAGCGATTCAGGGGTCTGCGGTGGCTGTGGTGTCTGCGGAGCGCTTGGAGCCCTCTGTGTCACGTATTCATCCGCTTAGAGAAAAGTGATTAATGACATTTACTGTCCACACAGGAAAAGTTGTGCCGAGCAGCAACCTAATCCACAGAAGGGTTAATGCTGAGCAGCAATTATGCAAATGAAACCTGGTAACTGACTTTGGGGTCAAAGGCCGGTTACAGCCTATCAGAACTAAAGGAGGGGTATTTAGGCCCAGTTCTCAGCCTGCTCAGTGCTCTGTCGTGGTTTCCCTTGTGGTTGTCCGAGAGCGCGTTCCTGTTTATAGTTTTCTACCTGGTTTTTGACTTTGGCTTTGTTTATTGACTTCTCTATATTCTGGTATCCTGACTCCTGGCTTTCCTCATCGCTGTGTCCCTTTCTGTGTTCCCTGACCTCGGCTAGTATTTTTGACTATTCTTTGTACGTTAAATCCGGCCATTCTAAGGACCGGTAATACGTTACTTATTTGTCATCCGTGCTGTACAGTTCTACTGGATGTAATCCTGACATTACGACATGGCCATAGATCCTGTAGAACTGTGTCAGCACATAGCTGCTTGCGAGAG